CACAAACACTTACGCACTCGCACTTACACACTCAATCACACACACACTTACGCACTCACACACACTTACACACACACACTTACGCACTCACACACTTACGCACTCGCACTTACACACTCAATCACACACACACTTACGCACTCACACACACTTACGCACTCGCACTTACACACTCAATCACACACACACTTACGCACTCACACACACTTACGCACTCGCACTTACACACTCAATCACACACACACTTACGCACTCACACACACTTACGCACTCGCACTTACACACTCAATCACACACACACTTACGCACTCACACACACTTACGCACTCACACACTCAATCACACACATACTTACGCGCTCACACAGACTCACACACACTTACGCGCTCACACACAAACATGCACTTACACACTCAATCACACACACAGACTCATACACACTTATGCACTCACACAGACTCACTCACGCACTCATACACACTTACACGCTCACGCATATGTTAACGCTCTCACCTGTGTGTGTGTGTGTGTGTGCAGCGGGTCACACAGTGGAGCTGCTGGAGCCGCTGGTCAAGTTTCAAGTGGGTCTGAAGAAGCTGAGCATGCATGAGGAGGAGCATGTGCTCCTGATGGCCATATGCCTGCTGTCACCAGGTGCGCAGCCTTGGATTCCTCTCAATCCGTTGCATTTCAGCACATGTGGAATAAACTGATGTATTGTACCTACACTTCACTACCTTTAATCTGAAAAATACCTGTTCGAAATATAGCGGGCCGTTGGCATGGCAACGTCATTATACGATAACTGTCACTATATCACCATGGAATATCGCTGACGAAAAGAAAAAAAAACTCGACCAAAATCACTCTTTGTTTTTGTCCAGCCGCTACAAGCTTTCATGATTACCGTTGCCACATTTCAAGAATTTAAATCCCCCATTCAGAGCTTTTCTATTAAAAGGGCATGTTTTCTACCCGGCGTTTTACTTAAAGTCCCCCTGTGGTGTAAATCCAGCTTTTAATGTTGTTTATGTGTCTATGTGGTGTTTTTAATATGCTTTAAGACACACCATGTGTAAGTTCATAAGTCGACAGCATTGCTGAGTATTTTCTGCTTAAAACTGCAGTGAACCAAAGACAGTCTCAAAAACACGGTTTGAAATCGCTGGTGTTTCTGACGTCACAAACGACCTTGTAACCAATCAGATCAACGTGTGATCGTCAACCAGTGGATCTCTGAGCTGAGGGAGTGAGTGGAGGCGGGGCTCATTTGCATATTCATAGAACTGCGCATACTAAATGAGGCAAGGGTGTCGAGTTACACTCAAGCTATTTTGAGCCAATTTGGAATTATTATTGGATTTCAAGGAATTTCACTGTTTTAGTTTTTGAGAGACGTTTCTTGTTTTACCAGTATATGATAATAAATAAATCAGGAAACTAGAAAAATAAACCCCACATACGAGTCGACAATCTCTAGATTTGTGCTTATAGGTGAAAGTGCAATAATTCTAATGAATTTCATAAATTTCTCCCTTTTCTTTGAACTTTGAGCGTCGTTGCTTTGCAGATGTTTCTCCAACACACTAACTACAGTTAGAAAAGTGAAACCATAATCAACCACCGCTTTAATTACTCTCGTTCTCCCGCAGATCGCCCGGGCGTTCAGGACCACGTGCGCATCGAAGCGCTCCAGGACCGCTTGTGTGACGTTCTCCAGGCGTACATCCGCATCCATCACTCGAGCGGGAGACTCGTCTACGCTAAGATGATCCAGAAGCTGGCGGACCTGCGCAGCCTGAACGAGGAGCACTCGAAGCAGTACCGCTCGCTGTCCTTCCAGCCCGAGCACAGCATGCAGCTCACGCCCCTGGTGCTCGAGGTGTTCGGCAGCGAGGTGTCCTAGCATCCGAGGGCCCCCCGGAGCACTCCCGGACCCACGCCGGATCCCAGACCCGGGAGCTCGGCGCTTCGGCTAGGAGAGCGCCACGGTTCACACTGCGGGGGGCTGTAGAGAGAGAGAGAGAGAGAGAGAGTGTGTGTGTGTGTGAGGGTGGTGCACAGGTCTGGATAATAGAGAGAGAGAGAGATACGCACTGCAAAAAATGCTTTTCTTACTTAGTATTTTAGTTTTTTAAGCATTAACTCAAGATATTTTGTCCTTTTTTCCTCCATGGGAATTAATTAAATTTGAGTGGTTTAATTCCCCTGGAAAACAGGACATAATATCTTATGTAATTTTACTAATCTAGTAAATGCATCTTGATTTAAGAAATGTTTGATATTTGGACTGGAAACAAGACAGAAATACTAAGTAAGAAAAGCATTTTTTGCAGCATGTGTGTGTGTGTGTGTGTGTGTGTGTGAGGGTGGTGCACAGGTCTGGATAATGTTGCGGAATTCCCGCATTTATGCTACTGGGAATTTCTGAACGGAATGTATTAATAATGTATGAGTAGAACCATGCATATACACTAATATTTATATTAGAGAGAGAGAGAGAGAGAGAGGAAAGGTATGGCCAGGTGATCCTCTGTTGTAATAGGATTAGCAGGCTCTTCTAGTTCATTTGATAAATGAGTGTGTTTGTGTGACGAAATTAGATTTAAATTCACAGTGGCTCTGTTTCAAAACCTAGCCAACGCCCTACGTAGACTGCGTTTCAAGACATAGGTCACGAATGCAATCCCATAATGCGATGGTGGGAAAAACCATCCTATACTGCGATTTTGATTTTTTTGGAACGTTTCAATTAGCGCCATTGTTGCATTTCTATGGAAGAGGATTAGGGCCAAGCAAAAAAAAAAAAAAAAAAACTTTGAAATTAAAGTCTCATTAAATTTCGAGAGAAAAAAGTCGAAATACAATGCTGAGAATAAAGTCGTTGTTTAGAGAGAGAAAAATTTACATTTCTAGGAAAACTATGTTTAGAATAAATTCATTAAATTCGAAAATAAAGAAAAGTTGTGTTTCGAGAAAAAATCTCGGAATAAAACGTTGAGAATAAACTCATTAAATTTGGAGAATAAAGTCGTTGCTGTTCTGGCGTCTCCTTGAGGTGTGCTATAATCAATTTTTGATTATAAGTATATATAATTCCTTCACTCACATTGGTTAGCAACACACCAACGTCCAATTCTATTTAAATCCATTGAAAACTAGGTCAAACGCTATTCATACGAGTTACTGCCTAGGTAGTGCGTCACTTAAACCATTTTTGAGTTCACTAGGTTTTGGGACAGTTGCCATTTCGACTCACTGTGTGTAAGTGCAGATTTATGAGCCAAAATATCACAAAAATACAGGCCTGGCTGATATATAGATCTGCAAAAACACACACACACACACTTTAAAATGAGAGTAGAGGGCCTGACCTGTTGGTCTGATGTCTGTATAGATGACCACAAGAGAACTAAAGCCCAGGAACCGGTCCCCGAGATCAGCCCGAATGCTGCTCGATGTTATTTATCATTCATAACAAGGCCATCCGGCTGCTTCAACCTCATATTATCTGTTTAGTCCAAGACAAGGCCTTGCTTTACCCTTAAAACGGATCTTATATGGGTTCAGCACCTCTTGAAGCGTCTATTGTCAAATCTATTGTGATTTTAATACTCAGAATATCATGTTTTTAGAAAGCGGATACGCTGTTCGATCAACATTTGTCATCAAATGTTGGGTTTCATTCACGACACCCAAGCAGAATTGGCCGTCAACCCATTTTTATGTAAATCGCCCCATAAAGTAACCCGTTTTACTTCAAATTCAGACAATTTATGTACAATGATCCACAATTTACATCCTCAAATGGTTCGTAAAATGGTTTTGCACAAATGCACCAATTTACACCCAAATTCCCCCAGTAGTTTTAACTCCAAACGCACTGAATTCATGATAGCGTTGCATGAATTTTAGTTTTATGAGCGATTATAAACGTGTCCCATTCCAGCGGGTTCTGCGCTGATCTCTTGTGGTCATGAGCTGTAAATACCACTTGTTTCTGTACATATGTCTAATGAAACGGATAGGCTAATACAGTTAATCAACTGAGAAGAAGAAGAAGCTTGGGAGAAATATGCAAATCTCATATTTTCATAACGTTTTCGGTGTCTTTCTCTCTCAGACGACATTTAATAAGCTTTTACGACCGTATCTATTCCTGATGCTTTTTAGGTGCGAATTCCACATCGAATATATAATGATGATCATGGCTTAGTTTTGTACGGATTTTGAGACCTCAAACTGGACTATGTTTTTATTTCTGCAAAACCGCTGCCTCAAACCAGCCAAACTGAAACACACACACACACACACACATAACGGTCCGTTTCAAAGGACTCGTGGAAGCTTTAACGTTACTGCGGGTGAAACGGGAAAAGGGGCTGCTATGTCTGCTTTATCTCGGCTGCAAACGAAAGACTTTTCGAGAGTTTGGACGAACGATACGTGTATATACCAGTTCACGATAAGCTTCGGATGGATTATACTAGTTTTATTAGCTAAGAATGGAGTGTTTTGCCCCTTTTCACCCAATGATCCAGACCAGTCTCTGCCTCCATTGCCTCAAACACAACTGGATCACTTGCATCCGATCAACAAGGGAAATAAAACAAACCCGCTCTGGATTCAACAGGACCTCAACAGCCAAACAGTTTTGGGTTTCGCTTCATTGGTTGTCAACGGATGGGGAAAATGGGTGTCTCTTAATCAGTATTTCCACGAGCGAGAAGTAGAGGAACATCTCTATGCACTTTTGGATCAGATATTATGAGTCTTTGCATCTTCTTTGTTGATGTTCTTGGCTGAACTGAAGGCAATCGACCAACTTATGGTTCGACATGTTATGCTACGCAACTAGACTAAAGAAACCCAGTGCTCATCAATCCCATCATGCACTTTCCCTCCCTGAGAAGTCCTCTTAAAGTGGGTTTCTTGAGTCTAGCTGAAGGAAATTGACGCGGGTGAAACGAATCGTTTGATGACTGACTGTCTGAATGCTGATTGTTTAGGAAAACACAAACCACCAGGTGCCGTTGTTAACCAAAATGAACTACCTCTCTTCACACATGTAATCATTACACCATTTCAATGTTTGTTTGTTTTCTTTTTTTTAAAGAAACACTATAAATCCCTTACTTATTTATTCCTCTCTGACTCAAATGCTGGACTGTTTTTACCTCAAGACGTCTCCATAAGCTTGCAGCTTAAGCGGCGCTTTACTCGCCTGTAATTGCGTCCGTCGTATTTACAACTCGTGAATACGAACTTCCCAGTAGGACTTATCAACCCAAGGCGGATGTTAATGAGCATTTCGCTTGGACGCTATCGCCCGCGATGAACGTGCATCTTGGCGGCTCTCGCTAGCCTGACCGCTAGCATCTGTCAGTATTCACTCTTTCTCATTGCAGAATGTCAAAGCATTGACAACCAAGCTAGCTAATCCCAAAGTATCCTAAATAAGCTAGTTTTAAGTATTGTCTGTTAAGCACTCTCGCCATTTGAAAACTGTGTATATCTACATTAGCAAGCATAGCATGTGCATTGAAGTTCTCATCTGTATTCGAGCTAATTTGCATCAAGAGGCATTTTTGCTGCTCTATTTCTTTCAGATTTCTCTTAATCCCAATATTCTGTCTGGATTTTTTTAACCTCAATCAAGGGTGAAGCACGAAGCATTCCCTCATAACGATATATTATTATTTATAATAATAAATGCTTTTATTGTTGCTAATGAAATCCCAGACAGCAACATAGTTCCGGCCCAGATCCGGTACATGTGGATTCAATGCGTACCGGATGTGGGCCGGATCTGGGATTAATTATAATAGTTAAATAATAATTAATGCCATTTATTCTTATTATTAATTCCATTTAATTCATTTTCTCTGTTTTTGAATCCTCCCTCCGACCATTGACGCTGCTTCCCATTGCGATGTAAACGATGCCGGTTAAATCTGGTTTTATTCGAGGTTTACACGCCCCTTTTTCCTTCTCTCTCATGTTTACACCTGTATTAAGATGCGTTTTGGTCGATCGGATCGTAAGTAGACGAGAGAGACATTCATGTTCACACCTGGTGTTTAAATCCGTCTCTTTTGTCCACTTTTTGAACCACTTCCGTCCGGATGTCTTCGAGGGGAGGGTCTATGAATGGGCTTTAAGATCGTTCGATCTAATGGACACGTGATTTAACACACGGAGAGCATCAGCTTTCGGCTCTGAAAACCTCAAGATCACACTGAACGCTGTGAGTGTTAGAAAAATTGTTTTTCATCTTCAAACCAAACTTGGGTCAAAATATTTGGGTCAAAATACAACAAAGTTTAAGGCCCGTTTGGCTAGTGCGATTCCCATAATGTTTACACATTAGCTCAGTCAGTGCGTTTTTTTTTAGTGGCTGTTCGAACGCATTTGACCACATGAGTGTTTACACTAGGAAAGTGCTTTTCCACCATCTCTGGAAGTTTAAAACATTTCAGACGCCGTTTACACCTGTATTAAGCGTTGTCCACTTGTGATCCCATCGACCAAAACGCATCTTACACTGCAAATAGTGCTTTTCTTACTGTCTTGTTTCCAGTCCAAATATCAAACATTTCATAAATCAAGATGCATTTACTAAAGTAGTAAAATGACATAAGATATTAAGTCTTGTTTTGTGGGGGGAAATAAAATAAAAAGTGAGTTTTTGCTTAAAAAAAGCAAAATTATCTGCCAATGGAGTGAGAAAAATAATGTTTCTGTTTGAATTAAGATTATTTTTCTCATATTTTGCTTTTTTTAAGCATCAACTCACTTAACTTTGATTAATTCCTCCAGAAAACAGGACATAATATCTTATGTCATTTTACTCATCTAGTAAATGCATCTTGATTTTAAGACTTTTTAGACATTTGGACTGGAAACAAGACAACAATACTAAGTAATAAAGCATTTTTTCCAGTGTAATACCAGATGTAAACAGGACCTAAACACCTTCTATCAACTTAACCTCCACTGTCACCTTCATTTCTGCCATTTCCCCCTAAACCACACACACACACACACAGATTCTCCACCAGCATTTGCTTTACAGACAAAAATACTCAGCGTAGAAGTCATATTTCGTGTTTTATCAGTGATGGAGAGACTGACGGGTCACTTCATGATGTTTTGACACTATTAAAACCGGATTCTCCATGCTAGCTCAGTTAAAGACCTCTGTGTGCCTACAACCCAAAGCCTTATTTCGGGAGCGTGTCAGGGTTGGGCTTCAGTTTCAATGCCGCTTCTGTAGTTCTGCCGATTCATTCATGAGATTAACAATCACAGTCAAGACTGAACACACGGGAAATTTGGAAATGAAGTGTTGGCGTTTGACTCTCCGGCCAGAAACACACTTTACTGAAGTGTGCGGATGTAAATATTTAACTAACGCTCTGCGCATTAAATAAGAGTTTGTGTAGCTGGAAGCGTTCGCATTCACGCTCTTGTCTCGAAGCTTTTCGAGCGGATCTGTTCAGTCTGACTGTAATTCTCGGCTCTCAGAATGAAACAAAACCAAAACGACAGGAAAATCTGCATGGTTTCTTAGCGATCCGAACACATTTAGTCTCAGACAGACTACGCTCCTGGAATCAGGTGCCTTATTTTCCATATAACTCTCACTCAAAGGCATGATTGTTACATATGCAGTTTTCTTTTACTATTAGGTAAAATTATGGCATTTTCTAGCAAGAAATAGTCAGTATTGTGATATAATAGTAATTTGCGTTAGTTGTCCAAAGCTTGAGAAACGTTTCATTTTATATCACTGATTTGATTTGTTCATTGCTTGGTTGCAGGTGTTTTCAAGGAATGAATGATAATTCATGTAATTTTGGGATGAGCTGGTTGGGAAAACGGCACTTTTATCATATGCTGTTCTTCAGAATTGGCATCATTTACTCGCCCTCATGTTATTCCAAACTTTCTCCTGTGAAACACAAAAACGAGATGTTTATTTTTGTCATTTTAACCCAGACAGCAACATACACTCTAAAAAATGCTGAGTTGTTTTAACCCAATTTTGGGTCAAACATGGACAAACTCAAATGTTGGGTTAAAAATCTAATTTAAAAATGTAACCCAACGGCTTAAAACAACCCAGCATTTTTTTTAGAGTGTAGTGTTGGGCTAGATGTGGGCTAGATGTGAGTCAGATCCGGGTCAGATGTGGGCTAGATGTGGGCCAGATCTGGGCTAGATGTGGGCCAGATCTGGGCTAGATGTGGGTCAGATGTTGACTAGATGTGGGTCAGATGTGGGCTAGATGTGAGTCAGATGTGGGTCAGATCCGGGCCAGATCTGGGTCAGATGTGGGCTAGATGTGAGTCAGATGTGGGCAAGATCCGGGCCAGATCTGGGTCAGATGTGGGCCAGATCGGGGCTAGATGTGGGTCAGATGTGGGCTAGATGTGGGCCAGATCCGGGCTAGATGTGGGCCAGATCCGGGTCAGATGTGGGCTAGATGTGGGTCAGATGTGGGCTAGATGTGGGCCAGATCCGGGCTAGATGTGGGTCAGATGTGGGTTAGATGTGGGCCAGATCCGGGTCAGATGTGGGCTAGATGTGGGCTAGATGTGGGTTAGATGTGAGCCAGATCCGGGTCAGATGTGGGCCAGATGTGGGTCAGATGTGGGTCAGATGTGGGCCAGATGTGGGCCAGATGTGGGCTAGATGTGGGCTAGATGTGGGCTAGATGTGGGCTAGATGATGTGGGCTAGATGTGGGCTAGATGATGTGGGCCAGATGTGAGCCAGATCCAGGTCAGATGTGGGCTAGATGTGGGCTAGATGATGTGGGCTAGATGTGGGCTAAATGTGGGCTAGATGTGGGTCAGATGTGGGTTAGATGTGAGCCAGATCCAGGTCAGATGTGAGCCAGATCCAGGTCAGATGTGGGCTAGATGTGGGCTAGATGTGGGCTAGATGTGGGCTAGATGTGGGCTAGATGTGGGCTAGATGTGGGCTAGATGTGGGCTAGATGTGGGCTAGATGTGGGCTAGATGATGTGGGCTAGATGATGTGGGCTAGATGATGTGGGCTAGATGATGTGGGCCAGATCCAGGTCAGATGTGGGCTAGATGTGGGCTAGATGATGTGGGCTAGATGTGGGCTAAATGTGGGCTAGATGTGGGTCAGATGTGGGTTAGATGTGAGCCAGATCCAGGTCAGATGTGAGCCAGATCCAGGTCAGATGTGGGCTAGATGTGGGCTAGATGTGGGTCAGATGTGGGTTAGATGTGAGCCAGATCCAGGTCAGATGCGGGTCAGATGTGGGCCAGATGTGGGCTAGATGTGGGTCAGATGTGGGTTAGATGTGGGCTTTCTGTACAACGGAAGTGTGCGGTGATTTATCCTGCCAAATATAGTGCACGAGTTTATGATACTTATATGCTTCTTTTGTTTATCCTTTTTGGTATTTGGCTTATTAATCACTGTCCACTTTCTCTGTGCGGTAAAAACACAATCTGTTGTGTTTCATGGGAGAACAAAAATAATACATGGCAAAAACAAGAGGGTGAGTAAACCTATAACTATTTTAGGAATAATTCACCAAATTTATAAAAATCAGTTTAATTCTCCCAGAAAGAAATGCATTAAAGTTGTTGAACGTGGTCATGATCAAACTTTTCCCCCAACTCTCTTCATCAATGTTTATTTTAGATCCGTTGTGAAGTGAAATCTGTGGTGGATCACTGTTTTGGATCTCCAAGATCCCATCATGATGTTTCCAGATCACAAAACACACCTCACATACTTAGAAACACATGAGAAGCTCAAGACCGTAATGTATAATTTTGCGTTGTTTGATTCAGTCGGTGTACACCTGATTCTGGTCTGTACCGTCTCATACGTGTCGATCTCTCTTTTTTTCCCCTTGAATGTCCATTACACATTTATTTTGTGCATTGTATGTAGTAAATGACATGTTTTGGAAAAAAAATCACAAATAAACAGCTGTATATACTGATGCATAACCTGTGAGACTGTCTATCAATAAAACATTCAGACTGGAGAGAAAAAAACAAGCTTTTCTTACTTACTATTGTTGTCTTGTTTCCAGTCCAAATATGTAAAAACTCTTAAATCAAGATGCATTTACTAGATGAGTAAAATGACATAAGATATTATGTCCTGTTTTCCGGTGGAATTAATCAAAATTAAGTGAGTTGATGCTTAAAACAAGCAAAATTATCTGCCAATGGAGTGAGAAAAATAATCATAATTCAAACAGAAACAACATTATTTTTCTCACTCCATTGGCAGATAATTTTGCTTGTTTTAAGCATCAACTCACTTAATTTTGATTAATTCCTCCAGAAAACAGGACATAATATTATCTAATTTCACTCGTCTAGTAAATGCATCTTGATTTAAGACTTTTTAGATATTTGGACTGGAAACAAGACAGAAATACTAAGAAAAGCATTTTTTGCAGTGTTCAACACAAACTACCTTAAAGATATGACAGATTGAAGTACGTATGTGAGCGGATGGATCTCTACATCAGAAATATCCAATATATCAGATTTCGATCCCGGACGCCGGAGATACGAGTCTTCAGCCTGAGGAACAGAAGCAGGAGAAGGCATGAGGATAAAAAGATGGAATACTCTTATAATATAATGATAATAATGATTATAAAACTAAATCATATAAAAAAACTAAGACCATGTATGGATGCTCTCGTAAAGTAACACACATGTTGCTTATCCTTAGATTCTTTAATATGTTTCCATGACCATTTATTTATATATTTATACATACAGTTGCAAGAAAACAAAAAAAAAGTGAACCCCTTGCAGAATCTCAAAATGTGAATAATTTTAACTTTAATTTAGATTTTCTTAGGAAAAACCTTTTAAATGTGTAATTTTGGTGATCAAAGATGAGTTTAAAGGGGTAAAATGATTGACTACAGGGGGACTTTACCCTAACGTGCTCTTGAAGTCAGCCTCTTGCGCCCCCTACTGGCGTAACTGTGTAACGACACTGAAGATAAACCCCCATCACACCATTATAAACTTTGTATTTAATATATATTATTAAATAAGCTGTATTTTGAATACCTTATACATGTTATTTGAGTTAAAAAACAACTATTTTTTGTGCAAACAAGTCAGACTGCAATATTGTAATTATTTATATTAATTACAATATATTATATATACAATATATTAATTTATATTATTAAGAATTCTATAAGTAGTTTATGCCTCCTTTCTATTGGATATTTCTATTGTTAATTTCCCACAATTAAAGTTGTCACAGTCATTGCACACTTTGTGCGTGCTGCACTTTATTTATACCATTTTGTTTTGGTGTGTTTTTCTGCGTATCTGTGCATGTCTGGGTGTGTGTGTGTGTCTGCGTATGTGTGCATGTTTGCGTGTGTGTGTGTCTGCCTGCGCCTGCGTGTGTCTGCACACACAGTGAGTGAGTGAGTGAGTGTGTGTGCACGTGTGTGTCTGCCTGCGCCTGCGTGTGTCTGCGCATGTGTCTGCGCCTGTGTGTGTGTGTCTGTGTGTGTGTGTCTGCGCGAGTGTGTGTGTCTGTGTCTATGTGTGTGTCTGTGAATGTGCCTGTGCGTGTGTGTCTGCGCGTGTGTGTCTGTGTGTGTGTGTGTCTGAGCGTGTGTGTCTGTGTATGTGTGTGTCTATGTCTATGTGTGTGTGTGTCTGCCTGCGCCTGCGTGTGTCTGCGCATGTGTCTGCGCCTGTGTGTGTGTGTCTGTGTGTGTGTGTGTCTGCGCGAGTGTGTGTGTCTGTGTATGTGTCTATGTGTGTGTCTGTGAATGTGCCTGTGCGTGTGTGTCTGCGCGTGTGTGTCTGTGTGTGTGTGTGTCTGAGCGTGTGTGTCTGTGTATGTGTGTGTCTATGTCTATGTGTGTGTGTGTCTGCCTGCGCCTGCGTGTGTCTGCGCATGTGTCTGCGCCTGTGTGTCTGTGTGTGTGTGTCTGCCTGCGCCTGCGTGTGTCTGCGCATGTGTCTGCGCCTGTGTGTGTGTGTGTCTGTGTGTGTGTGTGTCTGCGCGAGTGTGTGTGTCTGTGTATGTGTCTATGTGTGTGTCTGTGAATGTGCCTGTGCGTGTGTGTCTGCGCGTGTGTGTGTGTGTGTCTGCGCGCGTGTGTGTCTGTGTATGTGTGTGTCTATGTCTATGTGTGTGTGTGTCTGCGCCTGTGTGTGTGTGTCTGCGCGTGTGTGTCTGTGTGTGTGTCTGCGCGTGTGTGTCTGTGTATATGTGTGTGTGTGTCTGCGCGTGTGTGTGTGTGTGTCTGTGTGCGCGTGTCTGCGTGTGTGTGTGTCTGCGTGTGTGTGTGTGTGCGTGTGTGTGTCTGCGTGTGTGTGTGTCTGCGTGTGTGTGTGTCTGCGTGTGTGTGTGTCTGTGTGTATGTGTGTGTATGTGTGTGCGTGTGTGTGTGTCTGCGTGTGTGTGTGTCTGCGTGTGTGTGTGCCTGCGTGTGTGTGTGTCTGCGTGTGTGTGTGTCTGCGTGTGTGTGTGTCTGTGTGTATGTGTGTGCGTGTGTGTGTGTCTGCGTGTGTGTGTGTGTCTGCGTGTGTGTGTGTCTGCGTGTGTGTGTGTCTGCGTGTATGTGTGTCTGCGTGTGTGCCGGGGGGTGAACACCCTTGAACAGGATGATGTACAAATATTTATTTTGTTTAAAGATACACTTTTTCCCCGTTCTGCCCTTCGGAAGCAACAGAAGATATTTACATGTTTCCCAGAAGACAAATAAAGTACAATTTATCTTGATCTTCAAATTCAAAAGTTTTCACCCCCCGGCTCTCAATGCATCATGTTTCCTTCTGGAGCATCAGTGAATGTTTGAACCTTTTTTTAATAGTTGTGTTTGAGTCCCTCAATTGTCCTCAGTGTGAAAAGCTGGATCTCAAAATCATACAGTCGCTGTTCAAATATTCCAAATATGCAGGAAAACTGAAGAATCCTCAGGAGTTGATCAGCTCAGGACACACACGGGACTCGAGAACAACCATCACAAAACAAGAACACCGTCACGGATCATCCAGGGAACGACAGTGTTAAGAGTCAATGGTTCATAAACTTTTGAACGGGGTCATTTTAACAAATTAAGATTGTAAACATCTTTTATGTAAAATATCTTGTACAGGACAGTAGGCTATAAATAAAAAATAACATGCATTTTGTATGATCTCTCTTATTCACTTTTCACATATTTTTCTTGCACCTGTATATAGTAGCCTACACACACTCACCAGCGGCTTTATAACATTGCAAGCACCAGGTTTGTCTTCAGAAGTGCTTTAACTCTTCATGGCAGAGATTCAACGAGCTGATGGGAACTTTCCTCAGAGGCTTTTGCTCCGTATTGTCATGTTAGATCAGAAGATGGTCCACTGTGGTCATAAAAGGATGGACATGATCATAAACAACACTGAATATGGCTGTAGTGTTTAAATGATGCTCAATTATAGACCCAAAGTGTGTGAAGAAAATACCATCCTTTCATGTCGTTTACGCATAAATCTGAACGTCAAGGCAGAAATCCAGTACGAACATCCAGTATTTAAAAATTAACTAATCACTTAGTTCAAACATTGACCCATATTCAGAAGTACTAATTAGTACTTATGAATATGGCTCAATGTTTTCTCAAAGACTGTTAAATTTGCTGCTCAATTGTGTGGCAAATGATCCACTTTTCATTTGTAGGCTAATACGATAATTATTTGTTTAAGCAAATTTACTGATCGGTGGATATCCTGGAATAATTAGTGCAGGTGAAGGTCTTTATCGGGAATTTGGTTATTAAAAACGTGACGTGTTTTTTACATTAGAAAATAGCACAAAGCACCTCAGCGCCCAATGTCTGTATTCAAATGTTATATGATATGATTAAAAGTTGCTCTATGGTGAACATTTTCGAAACTTTATTTGAAAGTATCTTTGTGAGACGTTTCAGAATTTATTGTTTACGATTTAATAACTTTCTGTCAGTTCAGTCCTGAAAAAACGCGGTTTCTTGTTAGATATCCCATATCCGCTGTCAAACTATATTTTCTCCAAATGTCACTGTCGTTATGTTATTTTGATGACTTTTTAAAGTCATTCAAGTTTACCTCAGAAAAAAACAGTCAGAGACGTCACTGGGGAAAGCGGCAATGAAAACCGCGCTTTCTGGTCAGAATATAGGGGAATTATCACACTACGTCACACTGACGTCACCCAGGTGCAACTGCGCATGTCGGATGCAGAAGCTGGCCGCTGAAACAAACCCGGGAAAATGTCGTGTTGTGCAGTGGGTTGCCAGAATCGAAAATCTGTAAACAAAGGTCTGAGGTTTTACCGAATACCATCAACTCACACTCCTTTTAACGCCAACCGCAGACGTCTTTGGTTACAAGCCCTCAGAAGAATCGACTGGAACGACAACCTAATTAAAAACGCCCGACTCTGCAGTTCTCACTTCATATCAGGTAAGCTGCGCTAAATCACCCACATCATCACTCGATTTAGTTTACAACAAAAACTCTGATGTATTAAGTACACTTATCTAACAATAGAATAACGAACAATGTATGAGTTTGAGACTAGCTAGCTTAAATTACTAGCTAATTTAACGTTACCTTTGTTCAGTTGCGTTACGTTGTCTTGCTAGGTAACGTTAGTTAACCTGACAGTTAGCTAGCTGGTCTAGTATCTAGCAAATGTACTTAGTATTTGGCTAATAACGCGGTTATAGCGAACTCAGACTAAATTTAACTGTAACACTAACAGACCTAACTTTTTTGTACAGGAGAGGTGTCCATGGACTTCAGTAGTCCTGACTTTGTCCCGTCTGTTTTTTCCTACTCAACCCAGTGTGAAGCAAACAAAGGCGATGCAAAACTTGAGAGGTAAATATTGTCACTTTCACCTCATTTAGTTGCTCACTGGGATCACATCATTACTCACCATCCATTCTCTGCATGCATTGAAGAGCAGGGAATTTATGGCC